CACAAGTAATTTCCAAATTGCATCAGAACCAGCTTTACACACACAGAACTTTACAGCTGCAGCCCTTTCTCAGCTGCTTGGAATGCAGCACGTTCATTTGACGTCATCCAGGCTGCATGGGCAGCCTTCAAATCTTTGCCATGTTCATTGATGTAACGGCGAACCTTGTGCTCCAAAATTTGCACATGAAAGTAAAAACACAACTGGTGGTTCTACAAAAAGACAAAGAAAAATAACCAGTGTTGAATCTGAACAAAGCAACAAAATCCCAACGAGCATTGTGGGCTGGGGACATCTTCTTGCCAGAACCACTCGAACTCGCAGATTCACGCGGAACAGGCTCTTCAGGCTGTTCACCACTGGCTGAAGGTTTTGATCCTCTGGGAACCTCGACTGAAGTTCCATCAGGAAAATATAAGTTTCAGGAAATTTGTTTCTTGTAAATGTTCATTTGATTCAATCAAATAAGCCAAGAAACACCCTTCTTCTGATATTGACGGTGCCACTCACGGGATGCTGCCCTTTTGCGATCCAGGCGTTCCTCCTCAATCTTGGCTTTGGTTGTAGGACTCATACCAGCATTGATTTGCAAGCGTGGCTTCTTGGCTTTCACCTCTTCAGATGGTTTCTTCAAAAACATTTTTTCCCTACAAAACTCAGACTTGTCCCCAAACACCAAAGGGCCTGCTCAGCATCATCAGTCTGCTTCCCATCATCAGACTGCTCAGCATTGCCATTGAAACCCACAGGAGGAACATGAGGAGTGGATGAACGGACACGCTTTGGGCCAGGCTCCATCATTGGCACACCAGGAATCACTTCATCCTTAGGGAACAAAGACTGGTTAAATCAAACATATGTTTTTTCAGTTGAAACACATCGTAGATTACAACATGTAATCATAATCATCACAGTGAAGCATCCTTACCAGTGGCCTCTTCATCCAAAAGCAGGGAAGACTTTGAGTTCTTCTCCTGATTGCCCTCAGCATCAACGTTGAGCACTGAAGACTCCGCAGCCAGCCCTGCACCCTGTGACTCCTCGTGTTGGTCTTGTGTTTCTGCCAAAAGCCCTTGTGATTCCACACCAGTGTCACCAGTGTCCTGCAAATTCACAGAACACACATATACAATGCAATGCAACCACTGAAGCCTAGATAAACAAATGAAGCCGCTGCACAAACAATGATTTCATTATGTCAAGGGGCTGGAGTGACATTGTTTGTGCCAGTGAGGGCACTGTCGCATGGGTCGAATGGTGGGTCAAATTGGCTTTCTTCACGAAGTTCCAAAGCCAAAGCATCCCCACCCACATGTGGAGAATCTTCAAAGTATTGTGCTCCACTGCGGAAAAAAGGGTATTCCTGCTTGGCGGGAGGTTCTTCAAACAAACGCTTGCGTACAACATCATCGTGACGAAGAGGCCTCGCAACATTCTCCACTGGTGCAACCTTGTAGCAACAGTTGAGGTTCAAAACGCAACCAAAACATATATATATATACCAAGGTGTATTCACTAAAATTTGATTGCAAATTGGACCAAGAATCTGGTTCAGCCTTCAGCATGAACTTCTGCAAGTCAGAACTGGGCTTGAAGTGCACCATCTGAACGGCATTTGCTGCAGCGAAGTTAGCCTTGCTTCTTTGCTCAGTAGCAGCTGCTTCAGGCACCGAGCGTGTTCTTGCCAGGTGTGCAGCCGATTCAAAGAGTGCAGCCCTTTGAGGAGCCTGTGTGATTGCCTGCTTCATGTGCTTTCCAAGCAACATGTGATCACAGTCCCGTGAATCATCATCAAGCATTACAGGCATCTTCAAATTTCCACCAGACATGGCTGAATGGGTCGCTGTACCCACAAGAAAAACAGCAACACAAACTACACTCCAAGCCTCAAATGAAAAAGCACGACACAGCATTGCACAAACATGCAAATGACCCAACATCAAAAATCTGAACAGGCATCATGGTCTCACTCTTTTCCAGAATGAACTGCAAAGCTGAAAGTTGATGTTCAGCGCAGCCTCATTCCTACCCAACCCCATGGCCGACATGGCCATCCATCAAAGCTTGTCACTTCCAAACTGCTCAGCCAACGATGAGGTAAAATTTGTTGGGCTCCATCAAGAAGCCATCTCCGCAGCAAAACCACATTGGCTTAGCCGGTCCGAGAACCTTGTCTTTGGCGTAGTGGCGCATACCTACATGGCCAAATTGAGCATTGGATTATATTATATATTCCTGGCTGAACATATCAACAATGGAACACATTGATAAAGAACAGGTTGATTCCAATACCAAGATGCGCCATACCATAGAGATGTACTTGGAGGACGACAGCGACTTCGTCCCGATTACCCCAGCCAAGTTGCCAGCCTTCACAGCCTTGAGCTGGACAGCATTTGGCTTGTAGACGCTGTAAGCATCATGGGTCACTTGGAAAGTGTCTTTGGCTTCCCCACGACAAACGGATGCCGGCCGTTCAACTTTGTGGCCAGTGATGGTAAAGTCAACGATGTTGCGTTTCTCCAATAGCGTGATGAGGTCATACAATGACATGGGTTGCGTGTCTTGGGGCCCTTGGCCCGTCTGCTCTTCCAATACCACCTCAAAAAGGAATACATGGCAATGTTGAACATAATGTCACGAACATCAGAAACAAAAGCAATAGAACAACACAATTTGAGCTTCGACACCAAGCTCTTGTCTGACTCAAGCCTGAACTCCACCGCCTTGTTCTCATTCTTTGTGATGAAATCCTTCGCCTGTCAGATACTTTGACACTTTTGTTCCAACTTTGTTAAAAATTAGTTTTGAAAACGCAATGAAACTCAAGATGTACACTTTGTGCAACCAAGGGCCTTGGCTGGATCTGACACCCATCCTCCTCCTGCATAGCAGAATAGAGGCTTAGGCTTGGAGGACTTGATGCCTGGAAGGGCAAACTTGGTGGCACACATGATGTAGCACTTGTTGTCCACGAAGTGACAGATGACATTCTGTCCCATTGGCAACGTAACCGTTGCTTGAACCTCAGGATGCTTCTGCTTGAACTCCTCAGCAGAAAGGCTGGGTGGTGTCTCACATGGTTGAGCCTCATCTGAGTTGCCAGGCAACTCTGCGACAGCCTTGGGATCTGCCAGATCCACTTCACCTGCCTTTGGTGACGGGGAGGGCCCCGCTGGGCTTTCTGCTGGGTTGAAAATCGCACCCAGGTTCTTTAAGCGTGTTCTCCAATCCGGGTCTTAGTGCAAGGACATTCAGAAAAAAACAAACTCTAATGTTTAGATTTGGGAAATCAAGGAAAATTACAATATCAAATGTCAAATAGACAATGTCAACATAAAAATCACCATGCTGCTCCGCACTGGATCATCCAGCCACTTCTTCCGTGTTGCATCTGGTAGCTGCAAATGACCTGCTGCCGTCATGGTGCAAACCTTGAGTTGTGGCATCTTGGGATTGGTCAGCTCCGATAGGTCTGCATCAGCAACAAACTTTGGAGTAACCGCTGACATGAGTCCACGTGCTGCCTTCCAGTCCTCCCAGGTTGAGATGAAGCACACCTCATGAAAATAACAAGTGAATACAAAATTCAATACCCCAACTTCAACATGTGAAACAAACTTCAACACAATGTGATTAACATGGCCTCCAACAACTTGTCTTTCACTTGGGTGGTGGCAAAGCTGAAGATTGCATTATTGGTGGTTTCGGAATAGGAAGCCAAATAGCACGCGTCATTGAGCTCAACCATCATATCCAATACCACCTGCAACTGGTCGACGGTGATGCACAATAGCTTGAACATGAAAACACAATGGCGACCAGCCTTCTCCCATGTGCCCTCGTACATCGTCATGTTGTGGATGATGCAAGCCTGACCTTTCAGGCTGGAGACCTTCCCCAGGAGAGACTCCAGGATTGCTTTGCATGTGGCAGGTGACGCAAGCCATTGAGCCGTCTCTTCTTTGTCCTCATTTTGCCAAACCAACGACATTACAGTAACATTAACAACATCAATCCAATCAAGTTAAAAACACATCCAAATAAAACAGAAATAAAGCATAGAAAACAAAGGAGGCAAGGATCTGTAAAGCTTCGGCCTTGTTCATGGCTGAAGAACGTGCTGCTTTCTGGTGTTGCATATTCACCTGCTCATCATGCAACATAGAACTCAACACACTAGCCAACCTACTGAGACAGAATCAGCAACAGCAAAAAAAGAAACATCAGTATTGAAATGTGATTGAGTTGCTTACAGGAAGTGGATGTGATGGGGTGCAGGTGTACTGTTGCCAGAAAGAGTTCCTGGTGAACATGTTCGTGTCCTTCACATCAACTTCAGCTCCCCTTGGAGCTTTGAAGAGCGTACCAGACTTGCATCCCAAAGTCGAATCCAATACAACCATCCATGCTGGCAGGCTGGCTGGCATACATCTGCAGGCAATGCTGCAACACCCACACTATGGTTGTTGAACATGTTCATTGAAATACATTGTAAAAAACCCACCCGGTCCTGTTCCCATGCAGCCCTCGCACGTCCAGCATGATTTGAACTGTTTTCAGTTCACAACCCAAGGATACAAACTTATCCTCAACACGGCGGTATTCACCACGGAGCCCCCCAAGAATGCCGTTTCCAGGGAGCATTGGGCAAATCACGAGCACTGTGCCTTTCAATGGTGCCACAAAATGACTGAAAATAAAGGTGATAGCTTCTGCTATTGCAACAGTGCAACATGTAGAACATTGAGACAAAACCCAAAATCAATGCAAGTTGCTGTAATCTTCATTCATTTGAAGGACTCTTTTGGACCAGCGAGCCACTTCATCAATGATGGGAACAGTGAGGCGGCCAAACTTGCTGAGATCGATGAATCCGATGTGATGCAGTTTTTGGATGTCTGCCTCAAATTTGGTGGATGCATCTGCCATCACCCGCCTTTTCAAGGTGCCAACGGCATGCGACTTGTCGTTGGCGCACACCATGAGGCAACGTTTCTCCATCAGTTGTTCACTGGCACGGAGACCAATCTCTATCTGGTCCCGCAAGTGGATCACCTTGCTAATGGCAGAACATACAATCACCAATTGGAACTCAATTCAAAATGGTTCCTTAATTTTGGGTGTAATTGTGGCGCAGAACAAAAACAACGCTTGCTCAGCAATTTGAAGGAGTCTTTCATCACATGCTTCGAGCCCTCCACCTGACTGTCAGGGTTGGGCTAGTCAGGACACCAAGCTAGCTTTGAAAGATCACAAGTGCATAGGAGGCCTTGTTTCGACGCAAATTGTAATTGACTGCTTCACGATAATCTGCTGCAAGGCTTGTGCAGATCATCTTGTACTCAGCATCCTTGAATTGCTCCTGATGGACACTTTATTAATATGTTTACAAGTTCCAACTGTTGTGACTTCACATGCACAAAGGTTCAATCATTTGTTGACCCACAAGTTGTCATGAGTCCTCAGCATCTTCCACTTCAGTGGTCATCTCAAGGCCATCACATGGTCCTGTTGCATCCTTCATGACGGCCTTTGATACGTGGTCCTGCCACATTGCGAACTGCTCACAAGTGATCTTGTTGGGTCGCCCAATCAGCACTGCATCCAAGTCTGTATTGTAGTCCCTGAGATCACATGCAAACTACATGGTTGGGATGCCTTTTCAGAAGGGCAAATTGCAAAGGTGCAAGCAAACACATTGTTGAAAGTAAATGCCCAGATTCCCATTCATGAAGGCATCAAGCATGTTGTGCGCCACCTCATCGCTCACCTTAGGGTGCATGTTACCACCACCACACATCATTACCTACCTTGAGCACAAAAGTGAAGTGCAACCAAGGAGCCTTCGAGTCCTCCCGAGCTTCGGTAATCAACCACTCGGCTAAGCAGCACCGATCAACATTCCGATTCCACTGTTCCTCTTGCCATCGTAGCCTGGAACGCATCGTGCGTTTCACCTTCTTGGCATGCAAACTCCACCAATAGTTGTAGACTTTGAAGGCCAAATATTGGGAACCTTCCGACACCTGGGTGTTCAGCATGAACTTTGAAGAACCACCATGTTCAAAAAGCACCAACAAACATTGCATGAATTTGTAATTGAGCAGCAACAAATCAAACATGTTGAACTGAATTTGTTTGAGACACGGTCAACAGCTTCCTGCCATGTTCCTGTGCTGCCCCTGGGGGACTCATTCAGCATGTGACGCCGGCTGCGAAGGATGCTTTCATTGTATCCTGTTCTGTAGTGGTCACAGGTTGTGTGATGCTCACATGTTTGGTAAAACACACCAACCTCATAAAACAAACACAAAACATGCCCAAGTCTGAGAAGAGCTTCCAGACTCCTCATACTTCTCAAAGTCAAGGTGACTGCGCACCAGATTGCGGCTGTCCTCTGTCATGCCCAAGACAATTCCTTGGATGGCCGCAGTCTGGTCTGGCGTGATCTGCCAACGCTTCAGTGCTGCATTGGACTTAAAGTCGTTGAAGCGCTCAATGATTTCACTGAGCAGATCCTGATCGGAGATGTTCTCGGATCCAGCTTTGCTTCGGCGCTCATGCATCAACAGTTCGAAGCGTTGGCTCAGCTTCATGATCTTGGCTGAGATGAAAGAACTCATTTAGTTTCTTACCCAATGGGCCCAAACCCTTTTCAATATATATATATATATAGTCCAATACCAAAATGTGCTTTGTGTGTCAAAGGTGGTCTAATCAACAAAGGCCCTGACGTCTTTTCTCTGGCGCTCTGCACCTTGCGTTGAAAGCTGTATACTCTCGAATGAGAGGGTTTCAGCATCTGTGGTCACGGAAATACTGGCTGGAATCGTGAAGATCTCGGAGAATGCTGGTAGAAGAGGTAGAATCAAATCCTGCAAGAAACCAGAAAATACATGCAATTCAAATAGCCAGTAGTGAGCTGAAAGCATCAAGTTTCTTTCAAAACAAACTCTCTCCTTCCCAGAAATTGGGTCCAGGTCACTGGCAATGAGAAGGAGCAAAAGGCCAGAAGTCCTAAAGGATTGCAAGAATGACAACAGCATCATCAATAAAACCAAATGAACCTTTCACAATTGATCATAGTCATAGTCGAGTTTCAATCTTGTAAACCCCTTCTTGATTCCAAGGAAGGCGTTGGCTGTGCTGGGGTCACACTGCACATACAAATCTAATGGTTCCCGGAACAGCCGGGATCCACTGAATATAAAGGAGATAGTCGTCGTGATATAGTCGCTGATGCACGGCAATCCATCCACGGGCCTTTTGATTTCGATGTTGGAGAGTGGCACAGCAGCTGAAATGCGTTCTCCTGCTGCAGTCAATTGGGACAAGTCCTGAGAACAGAGAACACTGCACAGCCAGCAATAAAGTGCCTTTGTTTTTTTGATGTTTGTTTAAAGGCTTCTTGTTGTGAAAAAGAAAGTAAAATATATTCAATCAACAAGTTCAGGCACAGGTGACCCAGCAACATCAAACTTCTTTCCGTGAACTTTGAGACTCTCTTGAAGGAATGTGTGCAGTTTGTCAACTGTGAGTGCTGCAGTGTCCGGGTCTTTGAATGCATCAATGACCAGGTCCACGGGATGTACTGAACGTGCACTGGTTGCGCCATCTGTTGAGCTCTCAAAAATTGCCAGGTAGTCCAAAATCTCCTCACGCCCAAATCTGAATATTCACTTGTGATGTATATATTTGAACGTATGTGCTTACCTATGTGTTAATAACAATCATGTCATATACACAGTTCTAAATGCAAAAAGTGAAATCTGAAATATACAAGTCCTTCACAAGTGAAGTATCACCAGGAAGTTTTGCCACAGCTGCTCGATACTCTGACTTGCGTTTTTTTGCTGATGGTTCCTCCGCCTTCACCTTCATAAAACAGAATTCACGAAGTCACATTTCAAGAACTGTTCCACACATGATCATGCAATAATGTCAATTCAAAATGCCTCTGCTTTCACAAGCGGCTTGGCTCCAGGAGTACTTGGATCCGGCTCCTCTTTCTTGACCCCCACTTCTGGCTTTACACACAATGCAGCCTGGGCTGCTGCAACTCCTGCTCTGAGGAAGGGAGATTCCATGGCTGGCAGATTCAGGCAGCTTTGGAAGAAATGACAAGTGGAGAAAATCAAAATGCCGCATGACTATTGGTTAATTTTAGCATTGGAAATGATTAAAATTAGGCACAGGCTCATTGAAAGTTGCCATCATTGGATGAGGGCTCATCGAAAGTCTCCGTCATTGGGGGGGGGGATCATCGAAAGTCTCCGTCATTCGGCACCCAGACCACACTGACTTTTGATGATCCCTCAACTTTCTAAGTGCAATGTGATCACACCCACAAAGATTTTGATTACCACTTAGCGACTAAAGAATCGGTGTTGTTTGGGTGCCGGACGACAGTGAATCTATAGGGCGTAAGTAGGGGTCCCCTGATTTCCAAGTTTTTGGAAAGTAGCAAAATCACTGGCGGTGGTGTTTTGCTTACATAAATTATTGTCGTTGGGCACCCAGATGACAGAGAAATCTTGGTCGCTAAGTGGTTATCAAAATCACTGTGGGTCTGATCATTTTGACGTTTTTGAAACTCGGAAATGTCATTTTCTCTCATTCCAAATCCTGCTGGCTAAAGTGGGCCAACATGTTGCGGGTGAGGTGTCCATGCGTGTGTATTTCCATTGATCAGGAACTGCAGGACTTTACAATATAAGTCAAAGTTTTTTGCACATTCAAAGCAGCCATGCTGGCGCTGCATGGTCACTGCCAGCTTCAGCTTACCTCAGCTATTGCTTCAATCTCCGGTCATAAAGTTGTGTTGGTTGCACCAAGTCAAGAAGCAAGTGCATTGTGTAAGGGAAACAGTACTCTTTTCAAGCAACTGCTTGGCAGCCCCTGGTGAAATTGCAAACTGCCTTAGGCAGCTACAGTGCCTTTTGCACACATAAGTAACATACTATTCATCACTGACGCCCCCTGCGCCACACAATTCGCAGCGGCACCGAAGGACATAGAACTGCCAAAACATGTGGATGTGGCTCCTCCCTTGCCACCGCAATGTCTTCCAAGGATTCCTGTTCAAGGAAAGAAAGATCATGTAGAGGATGCTGTGGGAGCTCACCATTTGCCAAGGCTTTCAAATATGCGGATGCACGTTGTGTAGCTGGATTTCCTCCCAAAAGCTTCTCAAAAACTGTTGCAAGCTCCAGCCATCCGCTTCTGGCTTCTGCTTTCAGGGGCCGTTTCAGAATGGCGCCTGAATTTAACACATTTGCTGGTCTTGTTTGGAGATGGTGTGATGTTGCCAAAACACTCAACACAACCAACCATTTTCATGTGTCAAAAATGCCAAGACACGGCTTGTGGTCAAAGGATATGTTGCTCGATGCTCTTCTGTAAGCACCAGCAAAGGTGGTTGTGCCAGGTTGGAGGATGAAATATATTCTTTCACAAGGACGAATATATCACCAGGACGCTTTTCCCGATGAGAGTTGGTCCCTTCATCCGGCTGCAAATGGTCTGGCAAATCTGACAGGGTTTGTATTTTGGAATCCCCC